GAAATTGAATAATTATGCTTTTCACTTGAAATCAAATGAAATCAGTACATAGTGATGACATAAGTATCCCTTACGGATCAGTTAATCAGTTATTTGGTACATACTTTATAAACAACTCTTCAAGATAGAGCAATGCTTGAAAATACGATGGAAGATTCCATCTGATTCTGTTTCTTTGAGCGATTTATTACAGACTGAACGGAAAGAACCGAATTATTTATAAAAACTATTTTAGTATTTACTACCCATGTTTCTTTACCCAAGATCTACGACCTTGCAATGCTTAATGGAGAACTCGTTTCTGCAACGGAACGTATCGAAACTCTACGCAGTTGAACAAGGCGTAAAACGAATTTCGATTTGTACTACTACTACTACTACTACTATTCTCTCCCTTTCTATTTCCACAATTGCTAAATTTGCGGCAAGGACGGGCACACGTCAAGTGCACTGGACCCGCATATACGTTACAGATAGAAAACTGTCCTAAGGACTGATAAAAAGTTTTGTTTACTGAACGTTAGGGGAAATCAAAAATGAGAAAAAAAGTGACGAGCTTCACATTTACTTCCTCATTATATCAGTGTTGGTTTAGATCACAATTTTATACTTAATCTATTGATATAAAAAATCAGACTTTTCGTTCCATATATCACAGATGAAGCAGAGATCAACAAAACACTGATATAATGACCAGAGCACTTTCTGCTCCTTTACGAAGTAAAGGAACCCCGCCGCCTATAGCCTTCATTTAAGTGATATTTATAATAATCATTGGGGAAAAAAAGGATCTAAGAATTATGAAAACAAGACAAGTAAGCAGGTTGTACAAAGATCAACTCTGTTAATATGGATAACGGGACCTAGTCGGTATGTGTCAATGCTAATTGTACATAGATTTAGAAAAGAAGCTTTACACTAAAACTCCATCAGACAAGAATTTTAGTTTGTTGTTGCTCTTCTTACCTAGTTACATACATATATTATTGAAAAATATTGTAAAATTTGCATTTACCTATTGAATTGATAGAACTTGCAAGCCTCTTCTTCTTCGAGGGAGAAATATTTTTTCATAGGTGCATCAGAGAAACGATTAGAATAATATGCTTGCCTGCTTGTGCGTTGTAAGTAATACTTGTTTGCCCTGTAGGGGGTGTAGTAACGATTAGACTTACATTTTAGACCCACGTACGCATTTCAAAGTATGTCTATCAAAGATTTGTCAACTACGACTTTTACTGCAACATAGTAAGTAAGTAAGTAAGTAAATGAAACCGTGAGAATTGCTTTCAAAATCTGAGTTTGGCTCCGAAAGAAATTTTGAACTGCAGTTAAGGAGGTCCTTCAACCAAAAACAAATGTCTGTGTGAATAACTCTCTCAAAAATTTTTCTATCATAGTGATTTGCACCAAATGCATTAATATTAGAACTTTCTCATATAGCAAGTTTTTTATTTGACAGTTGATAATGCTGTCAACTTATGAGCATTGTGCGTGATTTAAGCCGCAAGCTTTGTCTGTTCATTTTCAGTTTTCTAATATAATTTTCGCAAATATTTATGCTGACGCATATCATCACTATTGGAGAGATAAAGCCATTTGATAACGCGAACGATTTATTTCTTAAGGGTCATATGTGGTATCACGGCCTGATTTTATTTGATTTTCTCATCTTTAGATTGTAACGACTTTAAAATTCCTTTGTGATATCAATATTAATGCATTTTTTGTAAGTTAAAAATTGTTCGAAAGCTAAATAAAATCACTCTCCACTCAATTCATTTTGTTCTCAATACAATCTTGTTTTATTAAATTTAACAACACATGAATTAGCTCAGTCTTCATTAAGGATGAATGAAATATATGCCAACTTGTACAACATGTAAAGGAAGGAAAAAACTCATGTCGATGTATTTGTTTTCAAATTAAAGAACCATTTTACACGAAAATATATTTTTAACTCTACGTAATAATATTGAAAATGTGACGTCTATACTAAGCAAACGTACTGCATAAGAGTAACTTAACATATACACATGGGGCAGTGCATTAAAACCTTCGATGTTGCCGTAAACTATTTAACGTAAACTATTTACCCCAACCACTAACATCAGATAATTTTAGTCTAATGTAAAGTTTTTTCTTACTTCTAAGTCAACCTGAATTAGCTCAAACCCCTTAAGAAACATTAAGTCACTTTTCTTAAGTCAAGCGATTATTATTAAGAAGGTTAAGCTACATATAACGCATACCGCAACCCCTGAAAAAAAAATATCTAAAATTTTCCCTTCAAGCAAGAAAGCGGCAGATCCGTCTCAATGTCAACTCAGTGTTCTTAAAAAATTTTCGCCAAAACATACTACGACTGCTTCGTTGCTTATTAAACTTATTATATAAAAGGTTACTATAATACTTCTCTGGTCTGCAACGATTATGGGATGGGATGGGATTTGAAAAATGATTCCACTCTATGCAATTAGTTTAGTTAGTATGCAAAAGTGCTATTCCTCAGCAATTTTTCTCGATATATTATTAGGGAAAGCATATTTTTACGTGTGAAACGCTTCGATCCAGTGGGTTCTAAATAAGGTTCAAGTGATTGGGGTTAAAACATGCCAGTGTGTCAAGTTGATGTCTAGAAACGACGAATGCAACAAGTAGATTGAACAAAACAGATTTAGATCGATTGCGATCAGCGGGTTGAGCCGGCGTAGATAGACTGATTAACACCTAAACAAATTTACATTCAGGAACCGAGACCGCTTGCCACTTTTAAGCTGAACAGATAGACGTAAATCTTTCTAGTAAACAAGCCTAGATCAATTGATATAATAAACAATGAATTCATCTCAATCGATTGGTTGCTGCTTACAGGAACAAACCCCCATATAATATATGCTGTATGATAAAAAAAAAAAAAAGGTTGAAAAATAAAAACGTGTGCAGATCTACAAACGAAGGGTTGGCCTGGAAGTAATGAGTGTATATGAATACTATCATCTCTGATCTAGCTATATATCTCCTTGAGCATCACCATGCCTACAATTAGGCAAATACAAAATATATTAATATATACGCAACAATTCACTCTAAACTAAATTGCAATGCGCATAATTTGGCCATCAGAAGAACGTATTTCTGATCCATATAAAAATTTTTTTAGCTACATTTAATTCTTTCATTAATAATATGAAATTCAAAGTTAATTCAACATTGATGTAATTTTTGTAATTATATTACCATTTAGATTAAGCAATCCCCTCGTCACTTTTACACCTATGTGGGTAAGAATTTCCCCAGTTTCAGAGGCAATGTATAAACAAAATACATACATTCCTGGTACATTATAAAGAGCATGAGTTCTTCTCATTGTAGTCAATGAACTTTTACCCCTTCACCTATATAGTCAGAAGATATAAAATACTAAAGTAAAGCTTGCTTCAATGCGCACACAATCCGTCTACGCGTAACCACGCCAAGTGAATTTGAAATAAGTGAGATTTTGTTGTATAAGTTACTTATAGATAGTATTCTGATTCAAATTCTTACTGACTTGAGTCCATCGCCTTTGCTTTCTCTTTACCAACAGAGCTCGTTGTAAAAAAAATGATCGTAAAAAAATTGTATCAAAAACTGTTATTGTAATAAAAATCAACATTAAATTGAGCGCAGTTTTGCACAATATGTCAGATCATTAATCGACTAATGTGAAAGCATCATAACACATTACAATAAATATGTAGTTTTTCATTCTATTGCATTTTAATTTTATTCATAAATTGATGAACGTTTATAATTCGATTCGCTTACACAATACATTTCATTTCACATTAGAGCAATATATCAATTAAATGGAAAACATTTTTGAAACGAGATTTAGGTAAACTTGTGTAATAGTAAAGCTAGGGCTGTGCATGAAAGAAATGATTCGTCGTTAAGTTATTTTAGATGGAAATGAACCTTCAATTTTAAAATTTATGAAGCACCCTACATAATTGTAATATCAACATTATCTGTAGATAATGTGCCCTTCAAAATTATAAAATAATATAAAATGATTACACAAATTACGTCATAAAGATATATATTAGGAGGTTAGAAGATATTGAATAACAATGGGAGTATAATATAAGAAATTATCCATCAAAGACACATCACAATGGACATTGCTTCTTACAAGTCTCTTATGAACTGCGTTGCAACTTGCGTAGTTTCCGAGTTTAGTTAAATAGCGAAAAAAAGAACAAGGAAAGTTAACCAGAGCCGTATATGGAAGCAATCCACACTCTGCACCATTTTCATCTAAAGCATTCATATTTTCTTATTTTCAAGGATATTTCACGCAAAAAAGCTTCCATCCTTCTGTCCCATTTTTTGATATATTGAGGAAGCAGAGCAGAAGGCAGCCTTCATGAAAGATATCGTTGATAAACAAAACGATGAGACTTTGAAGACAGTGATTAATATGAAGCGTTGGAAAAATTCAATCAAATTGACAAAGTATCGGGATAACAAAAAAAAAAAAGACTAGAACAAGCAACTGATTATCAAGAACAAAGTACCAGAAAATACTTTGTTTCATTAGCACTCACAAATGTAGGAAAACAAGTATGCGTTGGATTTTTTTTTTTTTTTTTTTTATGTCTAAAAAAAAAAAAAGAGAACATTATTTTTTTTTTTTTTTTTTGAGTTATAATTCATTTATTAACTATCGTCTCGTCAGTACATTTCGGGTTTCGAAATTTTTACATTATTTTGCAATAAATTCGTTAAATTTAATTTAAAAAAAAAAAAGAAATAAAGAAAACGATGTATTCTTCGTTTCACATTTCGTTCACAATTATTTACGTAATGAGGAAAATATAAGGAAAATATCAATTCGAAAAACAATTCTTGTAAATCTACTCTAGGGCTTACTGCCAGGATAAAAAAATCTGTTACTGAGCGCTCCTAACCTAGAAGTGTAAGCATAAAAATGGCGGTGTTTTGTGTATGTATGCCGTGTACTTATAAGTCGATCATTATTGTAATCGGATGTTTATTGAGGTATTATCTGTTTGTTAAGATATCCCATTAGTGCATGCAAACGTTTCTTAATATTTTTTTGATCATCTAAAGTGCAGCCCAGCAAAACGCTTTCGAATTTCTTATCTACCGGGCCTGCATCCACATCAACATCAACTCTATACTCATCCATAACACTTGTGTTGGCAACGCTAACATCTTCGCCAGCACTGCAGCAGGCATTCAAGTACACTTGACAACGTTGCCGTGACAGCACCGGATCACCCATAGTAATCGTCAAGTCTATTAACGTATTGATTTGGCTTAGAGAATCCTCCTGCGAGTGATCACGTACAATGCGTACATTCAGTTCGACAGTTGACAAACGAGTGTTAACCCGCTGTAAGTAACAACCGATCTCTTCTCGTTCGGAATCGGTTAGATTTTGCATTGAATCGTTGCTTTTTATCAAATCAATGGACATAAGCAAGAAGTCACGTTTCTCCTGCAAGCCCAACGCATCCTTCCGAAACTTTTCAACTCTGGCATCTAACTGGTCTAGAACGGTAACAAACCTATCAACACACATGCCAATGTCACTGTCTGAATACGAGATGGGAGCAACGGCGGTTGCATTACTAGAACTGCTTGTATCAGAATCATTGCTATTGACACCAAATATGGAATCCCAAACACCAGTTAGATTTGTGGACATAGGGTAATTATTTTCACTATTATCGCCGTTGACTAAGCTATTTGATCTAGCCGTCGTTGGATTGTCATTGTTGCGCGGTATGTCGTCGTCACCGTTGAGACGTCGACGTTTTCTAAACATACCCAGGAAATTAAAATTTTCTAACATTTATATAGGCAGGTAATTTTAAGGTACACTCTACTCCTCGTTTCAAATATTTGTCCCAAATTTTTTTTTCAATTTTTACGAGAAAATTAAATAATAAAAATTCTATGTAGCATATTATAGCATACTCAATGGGCTCTTATCGAAATATGACTAGCTCGCCGGAAATGAAAGAAATTTTGCCCTATAGAATCTTTACTTTTACTCTTTTACTTTCCTTAATCCTTCTTCGATGTTTTTTTGTACCATCTCGATCATCGTTACGCTAAGGGATTCCAAGAATGTCGATTGTTGAGCGTGAACTGACGACAGCACCATTTCACTAATTTGTCGTGAAAGTTCGGGAGGCAAGGACTGCGAAGGAACGGTGTGTTCTGGTGTATTAGCCATAACTGTTTTATTACTCTCTAGCAACCTAGTTTGTTGTCTAGTTAATATTTGACCGAAAATATCTTCTATGGGCAAGTTAGTTTGGCAATTAGGACAATGCTGAGAGTTATTCAGGGATGCTTTCAGACAAGTTTTGTGAAAGGTGTGATCACAAATCGTTCTAAGAAAGTTCCTCTTGGGATCTACCTCGTTCAGACAAATAGAACAAATAAGTACCGATTCTGTGTGGCAAATTGATAAATCTTCTTTACTTCGACGTAACGACATGAGAAAATACCGCAACAGAATTTCAAATTATTCAAAATTATTAATGTTAATAATTATAAAGATTTCTATGAACTAATAACCCAGTTGTGGTAAAGTAAAGGTAATTAAAGTAAATTAATAATAACTCAGTTACTTTGTTAGATCCTGGCTGGTTCGGTAAGTTTACATGTGTATGTGTAGATGTGTTGTATTAGTGTAATGTAATAACTGAAAACAAAAAAAATAAGCATTTGCTATGCTTGGCTTGATCCAATGTAATACCAGGATCAATAATTTCCAAAAAAGGCACTAGCAAAATTTAGTGCTTTGAATGTGTTTCAGACAACAATCCATAAATAGGCTCTGCTTAATCTAAAACCATGAACAGATATTCCAATCTATGAAGCGTAACACCATAACAAGGTTCATTCCAAATCGACGCTAGAATAAGACATTCCATTGTTATAGCTAATTACTGCAAATTGTCAAGAAAACAAAATCTTTAAGAGATCCATCCGAAATAACAAGGTTTAGTCCAGTTGTAGTCAAGAATCTAATATATCCTGATTTCGAAAGAACCAAAATCACAATTTTCAAGCCTCAGGCAATTGGAGAAGAAGCCAAATTTTTTTTTTCTTTCCTTTTCTCCTGATTCAACAATTTATTGACGAAATTACAAATCAGATTAATTTGTAAATTTTATTCTAGAATCACGAATGTACGTACATTCGGGCGTGACTAGGTGAGTTGTAATTTATATCATTAATATAGTTTATAATTCTTCATTTTACGACTGTTACACAATTATCAACAATAGGTTAAGACATTTATATTAATTACACCATAATAAAATGTTTGTAAACTAATTATGTTGTTACGATACTGGCTGGCGAAGTAAGTGAACACTTAACACACTCACATTCACTACACATCCACTTACATCTTATAAAATTAGAAAGATTCTATAGGGCAAAATTTCTTTCATGGACCCCCCCAAATTTCGGCGAGCCAGTCATATTTCAATAAGAGCCCATTGAGTATGCTATACAAAAATGGAGTTAAATGGAGTGAATTGTAAAGGAGGTAAAGAGATATTACCATACCGGAGACATTAGCAACACTTCTATTATTATAGATAGCTAGGGATTACGGGAGCTAAATGCCATGTTAGAAAGACGTCTGGAATAGCTGAAGGTTGGAGTCACTTATAGCAAAGCGAGTCACTTGCATGTCACCATCTTTCCCATAACAAGTAATGCTTTCTTTCTTTACTACGTTAGTTCACAATATAAACGTTCTCATGAAAGACGCCGGGATCAGGCAACAGTGTGCACGGTACCAGTCTACACCCACAATATGAATACAATAAAATACTTGGCATAGTTTTTTTTATTCAAATTGCATTTTTTTCCCATCATTTCGCAAATGGCTCTCGACCAATGCGGTGAAATTTTGTGAGTAGTATGCTGCAAGTCACATTTTTTTAAGTATTGTGTTCTTATTGACATGCTGTGACAATCGATTCAAAATCGTTGAATATTCAATCGAGAATTTATTTACTATTTACTATAGAGCTGTTGGACGCAAGAGTTTTGTATGTATATGTTATCTTAAAAATCGTTTCAGATATAATACAGTGTACAAAAATAGTGAACAATCTAGGATATGTAAAAAAAACCGTTTCTCATATCATGGAAATGTGGTTACAGTGTTTCTACATGAATACATGTACTTTTTTTGTATATTCATTCTTCACTTTATTAAAAATTCAAATAATGATAAAATGATATATGAAAGTAAAAAAACTGTTGTTACTTTGATAATCCTTTTTTAACTTATTTTAAAATACTTTTACAAATACTGTGTGTGTTCAATAAATTACTCATATCTACATATGAGTATATATTAAACTCATATGAAAAAAAAAAGTTCTGCATATCTTCGCGAACAAACACATATTTAGTTGATTTCTCTTTAAGTTCGCTTCCCATCCTCCCCCTACCTTTCAAATGTAAAGAATACCTTAACCCACTACCTTGTACATACATAAATTTAATCGATTTAGTTGTTAGATAACGACAATTACTCTATTTATGAGAATTTAAAGAAATTCAATTATGAATGTGAAGAAAGGTTAAAAACAAAAACAAGGGGAACTATATTCGGAGTTGGTTCGTTAGTCATTATTTATGTAGTAGAAAATTTTTCACAAGTTTTAATGAAGTGTTGTCACAACAGTGTAGGATTAGAAAAGAAAATACATACAAATTACATAATATTGTTGTAAGTAGTGATGGAAGTCAGACACGCACAGGCAATTACTTTAGAAGGTGTTGTAGAATTTTTTCCTTAAACGTTTTGGAAATTGGATTTTTTATTACGATAGCGATTTCAAAACTTAAAACAAACTTAATTTTAAACTTTTTCAGGTTAACTTTGACAATCAGCAAAAGTGATCACAATTAGTAAGAAATTGATCATTCTCCCTTCTTTCGTAGATTGTGGTCTCATACTTTAAAAATTTAAGTTTATTAAGAAAGTTAAATTAGATCAAGAGTTTATCCACGGTTAGGAGGAACATTTATTTAGATAAATAAAGGCATCCCAGGCAAAGAAGGCTGACCATTACATACAATACACGTCTCCGCTTAATATAAATCTTTATTCATTTTCTCGATAAAATATCAAAAACTATTTCTTGTCTACGTGTGAGGTCAAGTTTTTCCCGGGAGCCCTTCTAGGGAAATGATCCGAACCCGTGAACCGGCCTGATTCAAATTTGAAAACTAATTTTCTTGTTGTCTTTTCTGGTAGTCTTATTATTCGTAAGGTTGTGCCATAAGCCACTACAACTTAGGCTTTATGCTTACAATCCTTGAAAATCGTCTTATGGGATGGGGTGCAAAAAATAAGGGTGCGCGTTCAGAATTTGAGGCAGTCAGTCTCAGAGAGATTTTAAAGATAAACAATTTTTTGCACACCATGCGTGAATCAAAGTGGGTATATCTAAAATCCATCCGATCGGTTCATAATCATTTCCTGGCTCGATTTAAGTTTATCTGCCTGTCTGATGTCTTTCCATGTATTTTCATGTTCAACCTAAGCGTCGCAATTTTTGAAATATTTTGACGAAAATTTGTACGCAAAGGCATTGATAATCGCCCCACATACAACGCCTTGTTTGAAAAAGGTGACTATAAGAAAACAAGTGGTTTGATAGGCATCCAGCAGACAACAGAAAATTTATATCGCTTTAAGAGATATAATCAAAGATGGTCTTTCTAGGTGCTACATACATTCGCACCTAGTTAATGCCATACTCCCTCTATCGCAAGTGGGGCGTAGAGTGTGAGATGTAATAAGATAAAAGAAGTGCAAATGCTTTTAACTTTGTAGACTTGTTAATAAAGCGTTGCTGTGCAGTAAGGAGGGGAGGTAATCTTCACACCCGCTTGCAAAAGAATCGGTGCCAAATAAATGAAAATTTTGTTTAGTTTTGTTATGTAATTTAACAATTTTTCAACAATTCTATGCACTATAAGACAACACTACTTAAGCACGACTTTCATAGAGAATAGATTGCCCTTATCTTTACAACACCAGTAAAATTTCATCAATAAATCAGAGAAAGTAATTTATGAATGATTATGACGATAAAAAGAAGTCAAATGATTCTGTTTAAGCAAATATATCAAAGAGAGAGTTGTGTTTACATAGAGGCTCAATTCACATCAAAGGTTGTCAGCTAACCAGTTGAAAACATTTTTGAATAATTGCTTTATCACCCATTTATGTCATAGCTGCCAGTAAAAGGTTGTTCCAAAGGAGAACTTGATAAAGGAATGGGAAAGTCATGCTAAGATATGTCATCGAATGTCTTTTGCTTTTTTTAAACAATAAGGCGAATTTTTCGCAAAATAAAGGACATGTTAACTGCGCTGCAAGCAGCAGCCGACAATGTCAGTATGTGCAGTATAGAGTTTATATAGTTTATATAACGCGCATATGGTTCTTTTCTTTTCTATGTTTAGCATTGTATGAATACAGATATCATATTTTTCGTTCTTGCAAAATAGGTTAACATGGATTACCATAGATTTACACAACATGTGGCATACTGGTTAATCGCGAATTCTAATGCAGTTCAAAAATTAAGCATTGCGAGCTACCATGTAGAACAAGTGAGGTAAACAACGCAAATGCCTTAGGAATGTTATTGATCCGGCAGAAATCTGTACTTGTATGCATGTTAAAGACAGTTTCACATAAATATCAGTTGCAGTTGTAAAATTAATATTTGATTATTTCATCTCCTAATCCAAGTACTTGTATGAAACGATATTTCGAAAACAAATCAGAAAAAAAGCATACCTTTTTGAATAATAACCTTGTCATAGCCAATAGGAATAGAATTCTTTGCAGTGACGAGCACTTACCTCAGCTCATACCAGCTACTTTTCCTTATTAGTGTATGAGATCATGGGTGTTAAAAATTCGACTCAATTTTAGCTTAAATTAATTTTTATGATTTTTAGTTAAACTCGTTTACTTCCCGTTGATATTGCTGTAAGCAATTTTCCAAAATGAAACTCAAACAAGCGAACATATCGTTCATAAAGCATCAAAACTATAAATACTATGTATGTATATTGTACGTATACCGGAATATCGTATTCTAGAAAAGGTGCTAAATACATTTGCAATAAAAACTCTTACGAAAACATTGCCTTAGACAATAAAATTTTATGAGAAAACAAATTTTAAATAAATAACAATTGAAATTTCTCCTCTTCCATCGATGATCCAAATGATAATTTTCGTTATTTAATGTCTCATATTTGCGATTGCTATGAAAAAGGACAAGAAAAAATTTGTATGAAAATCAAATGACCCGAGGAAACACAAATGCAACCAACTAAAAGGATGTAAGGAACGGTAGATTAACTTGTATTCAAAAAAAAAAAAAAAGATGGGAATAAAGTGGTTATAATCGGCTTGAATTGAATCCTCTTTACACACCAACTATATATGTGGGTATGGCAAAAGTTTGCGAAAGTACACACACACATTCACTCATATACATAAGACTCACAATAGTATAAAAACCCTCTCATCCTTATTTTCCTTTTTTCGGTGACTTTTTTTCTATGCTGTCATGAAACGTCTCGATGTTGCCTGCCTTGCATAATAATATATACTGTTCCGAAGTATTATCTAGATACTCTCATTGCTGTCTTCTCGCCAATATGCATTACATTACGTCTATTGTCCACTAACCACTATCTGAAATTCTCTAGTAAGCATCATCGCAAACGAGCAGTGCATCGTTGCATTTCGAATTAATCGCAACGAACTTAACTTTGATGATTTTCTTGCACTCAAAACCCATGTAGCCAATAGATCGATCGTAGAAATGAACGCCTATGAGACCCGAAATATGGAAAACACTAAAAAGTCAAGAAAATTTGGGAACATGTCTTTCAAAGGTCATTTCAAACATTTAGTAGCAGTCGATCTCAAACTGCGGGAAAACTTATCATGTAACGCTTTAAGAAAAATTTTCGCTTTTTTTCTTAAAGCCTTTACCCCTTTTTATGGATGAACAAGATTCGAAATATTTTCTATCATTTTTTTCTTACGTCGTACTTTCGTAAAATTTCATTATTATTATGATTATTTTTATGTGAAACATTGTAAATTCTCAAAACTCGCATAAATATGTTACATAGGTAAGTCATGTTGTAATACCTTGTCGTTATTCTCAGTTATTATTAAAAATTAAATGGCAAAATTTTGTATAATTTGGCTTTTGCTATATACTACTCACTGTTTTTCTTTACGTTGTTGACGTTTCCTCTTGAATGCCTTTTTGACACGTAGCAATAAAAACGCCGCCCTATCCACCGAAAGTGTAGTTGAACTCTTTTTGGATCCGGGTTGTGCAGCAGCAGCGGTAGCAGCAGCAACTGGAACAACATTTTCCATATCCTAAAACTGCCGACCTCTCCTCGTCCTTTTCAAAATTAAATTATGATAATTTCTTAATGCGTTGTTTAGGTAACACTGCATGCACAACGCAGAGACAAAAATAAAATGCTTCGCTTCAATCTTTTATGCAAATAAGTTAAACGTTTGTTTAGAAAAGATTTTACTGGATCACATACACACAACTATTTATGCGAAAGCAAAAATAACAAAAATCTTAAACTCTTCAAATATGATTCTTGAAGGTTTTTAAATCAGAAAAACGCGTAGCGCACGTAAACATATATAATATATATATGCACATGTATATATATATATATATGTAAGCGTTTAGTATTGTACTATATTTATTTAGTGCTATAAAACTGTCTTTGTAGTTTAAGTTCAGTGTTCAGTGTTCAATGTTTCACTCCCTTAAGGTTGTCAGGAGGTCATTAATGGTCCATTGCTTAGTTTTGTTGGCAATTTAAACTGTATTGCAATAGTGTTACCCTTTGACTTGTTGTTTGCTCGCAGTTGAGTAAACTTGTAGTGCGCGTCTTCTTCTTATATTGATTATGTTCGTTGCCGTTTTCCTAGAAATAAAAGAAAACAACATTTGATATCAGTATCCTTTTTGTTATACGGTAACCTTGAACCATCTTCATATAAATGATGTGCAGTGCTAAATATACATATTTGTATAGATATATATATATATATATATATATATATGCATACGCATATCAGTTACCTTAAAAAGATCATTTAAAAAGTTTAAAAAGTAGAAACGATTTCATGCTTATAAGCATAACATTAGTAGTCAAAAATATAAACGAGTTAATGCTCATAAGATAACATTAATATCTGGAATATCTCGAATATGTAATTTGAAAAAATTTGAACCGAAAAATGATTTCGATTTTTATTCGAACTTATAAGAAAGCACTTTTCACAAATTCAAACTACGTTTTACGTTTATTGTAGTGAAGTAAAATCACACGTAAATGTAGATACATTTTTAGGCTTTAGGCTACCGCGCAGAATAACCAGAAGAATGATTCGATCATTCATTGAAAATATCATTTGAAATAGACGATCACGCAAGGACAACGTAAATGATATGTAAGCGTGAAGAACTTAAACTTCCACTACGTGAAAACCAATAAAGAAAACATATATAACAAGCAGACAAAAAAAAAAAAACTCCGATAGTTTTTTGGGCCATGATCTAACTAAAACGAAATGTACTCGATTATTATGTAGACAGATAGAATGCTAACAAGCAAATAAAAAATATTAATCCTGGCTTCGTTTGATTGTGTTTTTCTATTATGCAATATTCCGATTTAAGTTTTTATTTGCAGTAAAACAAAATCCAGTTTCTTTTAATTTTCTTACTAGCAATTCGAAATTAATTTCTGGTTCTAACGTAGTATACGAAGAGAGCAGGAATTCCCTTTAATTATATCTCAACTGAGACAATGCAAGAATTCATTTTATAAAAATAATTGTTTCTGTTTCTTATTTGAGGAGTGATTGAGAGTTTCTACAATATTTTATTTAAGATTAGCTTTAATCTTTTTTTTTTTTTTTTATTTATTGCAGCTCAGAGTACTCCACCGGAAATCTGTTATGATAAAATGTTATGCATACATCATGCATTAGCTTGAGAGAGATTTTTGTCTTTTTCTTTAAGGTATTATTTTTTTTATGTTTTATTTACTTATTATCGGTAGATATTATGTTTTATTTTACCTTCGGCAAGTATAAAAGCGTACAAAATAAGCTATCAGTTTAAAGTTTGCTCCTTATCTAAATTGCCAACATACAGCGGTCATTGCGATGACCTTTGACAAGTAACATCAAAAAGAGAACGTCTTCAGATATATTCGCTGTACCTTGATTGGAAACATAGCAACAATGTGATGATTGTTCTTAAATTAAATCATTCATAATTATGAGACTCGTCTTTATCTAATTGGATATGTAAACAAGCAAGTCTGTCTTATCTGGAAAAGCAAGTAGCAAATAGCCAAATACCTTCTCCAACCTTTTTCCAACCTTTTCAGTAATTGAATTATTTTTTTTCCAAAATTTGGATAAGTTAATCGTTGTACTAAATGGTAATAATGACGAACGCTAAGGGCTGACTTTTCTTCGCATGGAGTTAATGCTTCGAATATGTTTGAAGCGGATGAAGCTCTATTTCAACAACGCAACAACACTGGTCGCTTCATTCATGAGATACTACTTGACTATATTACTTGAAAATTTTTAAAATTACATCTTTTGTGGACGCATTCTATCTGCCTACATACTAAACGAGTACATTTCTTTTTAGTTGGATCATGGCCCATTAAACTAATGGGGTTTTTTTTTTTTTTTTACAAAGGAATCGTATACCGCTACAAGTCCCCTTTAGAATCGAAAGGACTGAGTAGAAAGATGCCTCATACATATATACCTCTTGAAGAAGTGCTTAAAAGTTAAGAGCTACATACTACATACTACATATCTGTTACTTCGTTTTTCGATCTCTGCCGAACTCCGCAAATGGCTTTAAATAACTTGCAAAAGCCTTACGAACTATGCATGTAAGAGCTCTGGGAGCTGTATACGACAGTTTTTCACCTGAAGACTGTAAAATTTTCACAGCATATTTACTATATGATTACGATCCTATCCGAAGAATGGGGGAGATTGTCTACATTCAATCCTTTTCACAACCATAAATTTTTCACAAACACAATTTTTTCTATAACGTTCAATGTTTCTTTTTATATATCCTCATCGTAAACACTTTGTTTAAATTGTTGAAAAGTTCGCTCGTATAGACAGCCGCGATCACTTTTTAAATCTTTTGCTGATCAAATTTTATTAAATCTGTCTGCCACCTGTCTACGTTATACTATATGCCATTCAAAAAAGTGGACTTAACTTCCCTCGCCCGACTGAAAGCAGACCTCGCACTCGTAGTCTTATAAAAACTTACTCTGCCCTAATGTTCTCGCGACAAACAGCAAATGAATAGATTTGTTGTGTGTTGCAATATTTGAACTTCGAAACTTTATCGAATTGTCAGTAACTAGTTTTTATAATAAAATTTTCTCAAGGTTAATAAAGCATTTAAAGTCACTTTAAAAATTTTATAGCACATATTCTTGTGGTAATTGTTGGTGTTGTAATGCAAGTAATGTATATATATATGTATATATATATATATATATATATTTATTTTTTTAACTTTCTTTATATTCCTTAGAAACACTATTAAAGTTTTTACAACTTGAGGCGAGATATTGAATTGTTATATTGTTGGGTTGAAGCCAATACTTATGGGTTTTGCTAGACGTTTTTCTTTGCATTTGTTTTTATAAAGACGTAGAGAGAACTTTTTTAGTTGAAGATTTTTATCAACTATGGCGATATGTATGGTTCATTAAAATTTTCTTCATTCGCTCAAAGAATACTAAGCATTTTAACATGAAGCTATCAGCTCTTTACTTAAAATACTCGTAATCATCAAACAATGAAAAACTTTGATAGAAATATATGCTTTGATGGAATGGACATTACAGTTGAGTTGTGTCGAACGTTAAATACGTTAAACCATTTCACCTAATAAATGTTTCATACATTTTTCTGACAAAATAACCAAAAATGATACGTTATCTCCGGGTATAGGCGTACTTTGCGTAAGAAAAATGTATTGTTTCAAATTTACTTTACTCAGGAATAAGCTAAATTGGCCAATGGGAGGATACTATGTTAAAGTTACAATTAGGTGGATTAGGAAGGGACAGAATGATTGAAAAAGAATTGAATTTGTTCAGCAAATTGTAGCAGCGAGCTAAACCGGCTAGCTTTGGACAACTAGCATGCCCAAAAAGATGCTAGGGTGAGACTTGGCTGTTTAAAAACTAACGTGGCTATATATATGAAGTTATCTATAAACAACACAGGTTATATTGGCTGAGAAACTATCTAATCTGATTAAAAAAAGACTTTACAGGGTTGTGAAGAAGCTTTCCGAAAGTTAAAGGCCTTAGGGTAACTACGGTTAAGAGAACCGCCTATCAGACTAGAGCTAAGAGAGTAGAATAAGAAGTTAACAATGAAAGCAGGAAGTAGTTATTAAGCTGACCAAAAAAAAAATAATAATTCGTTTGCCCAGAAGAGCCCAAGTCGAATCACAAAGTAGATGATTAGCTCAAAAATCAGATTAGTTGATGCATAGAGCCGAACCTGGCTAAAAAGGTTTCAAGCCAATTAAGCTGCGCTACAGAATAATCGAAGGCTTTTGTTTTCCACCTACAAATTTTATTATATAAACGTAAATTAAACTAAAAGATTTCCAAATCCTTTGTCCATTATCAAAAAAAATTTGCTTTTCCAATAAGTTTCACTTTATTTTTTTTTTTTATCAACTTTTGCATGTAGTAAGTAAAGATAAAATTGAATATATAAATTTCACAACATCCGACTATAAGTAGGTTTACCACTGCTCATCCCCTACTGTGTCGTTAGCATTCTACAAACTAAAGAAGAATTAAGAAGAAGAATGTTTAGAGGGGTAACGATGTTACGTAGATTATAGAAATGAAAATAACGCTGGAGACCGACAGAATATATATCGACTGTCCAATGTGCGTCTCTAATGAACTACAATTTCGTTATTTATTGCATCCATTACAGAAGAACTTTGACAATAATTTTTTGCCCTTTGTACTTTGTACTTTTTTGCACCTACAGGCGGATATCTAAAATCTTGGAAGCATAAAAAAAGCTATAAAATTTAAAAATAATGGAAATCATCGTAAATCAAGGGGGACGTGGGAGCGTGCTCGCCCATTTAATGGACATCTCCTAAGTGACTGTTCAAAGACGAACAAAACTAAGATCGCCTCTCTGCGAAGCCGATATATATATATATACATCCCGGACCATCGTAAGATTGTTGGGTTTATTAGCCGTGCCCTCAATTTACTCTGTCCATCATCTATTTTCAACAAATTGTGAGAGAAAAGCTGAGCCTGAAAAAAATCATTCCAGAAAGCAGGGAAAACAACAAAAATGTATTATCCTTGGAGAGTTCGATATATTTTTGTTAAAAATTACTTGCAGGTCGACTCAACTATTTAACGCAAATATCTGAAAATCAAAAGTCAAAATGACAGCAATGACAGCTTCTGTCAACTCAAGGCCACCATTATTTCTTGACTTTTTGTTCTCGAGAGAGTTGTTTCAGAAGGATTATTTCTCCTAATAAAGAGAGTTGCGATTTTTTGTTGACATAT